TGATCTTGTTAATTCTCATAGTGACTGTACGAGGTAAGTACTTTAATAATCCCAGGTTTGGAGATAAGAGTCCTGAAAAGTATGTAAGGATCTGCAAGTCACCAGTGCGTCATGGTCTGGGTTCTAACTCAGATACATTTTTCTGGAAGCCAAATTTTAATAGTAGGTTATACTGTGAGAATACAGGTTCTAACAAGGACGAATCCTCACATCATCATCACTATCTGTCTGTCTATCTATCTATCTATCTATCTATCTATCTATCTATCTATCTTTGATTTTGCAGTATTGGGAGATGAACTCAGACCCAGCCACTAAGGAATAACCCCACCCCCACTCGCCTCCCTTAGAATTTTTTATTTTGAAAAAAGCTCTCACTAAGTTGCCAAGGTACCTAAGCTGGGCTTGAATTTGTAATCCTCCTGCCTCAGCCTAAATAAAAAAGTGAATATGCGTATTAATTTTTTAAGATTATTAACTTTTATGTTTGAATCTGTCTTCAGACAGTAAAAACATGGCACATACAATATAAGAATTTGTTGAATGAATGAATGACTACATAGTGGAAGTTTTTTTTCTCTTACTGGTAGATCTCTGTTTCTGAGAAAATCATGTTAATAGAGATATAATATTCATCTTAAACTTATCAGAAAGAAAATGGTGTTAATATTTTAACAATATTTATCTTTAGGTGTTAATATCATAAATGATTTTTATTTTATATCTTATGGTTTTCCTGATAGCCTTGGATTACTTTCATAACTGGAAGGAAAAATCTCTGATAAAATCAATCTCAGAGCATGAATATGTTCTAACCGAGCGCTACCCCAGAGTACTGTGGGAAAGATCCTCACACATGCGTAGGTGCTAATCTCATTGGGATGGGCTCAGAATTGAAGGGGAGGGTGTGAGTTGATTTTGGCGTCACAATTTCCATGGCTTCTCCACACTCCATCTCTTCACAGGCTCATGATGGGACAGTGATGTAGGTCAAGCTAGTGGCCTCATTTCACAAACAAAGAACCTGAGAGCCTAAGAGGAAGATGACACTGCATTTACTGGCCTAGCTGGGGTTGGAACATGACCCTGTTGACTTTAGCCTAGTAGCCTTTCCCTTTACCCAGCAGCCTCTCCTGAAAAGCCCAAAATGAGGAAAGAATGGGACAAGGGTGGAGTGGAGTCATGGACCAGTGTCTCAGATAACAGCATCTACAAGGGCTTTTCATGTAGCAAAAGCCTGGCATGAAGTTTCCGAGTCAGACAGCTTGGGGCAGTATCCCAGTCCTTCCACACACATTATTTTATATCTTTGAGCCTTGATTTTCTCGCTTGTAAAGCTGGCCCATTATGTCTCTTGCAGGATTTTTATGAGGGTCACATTGATGCTAATAAAGTAGATACTGTACAAGAGTGGCTCTGTCATTTGTCATCATATTTGTGCTGTCTGCCTGCCTGGATTTCCTGTTCTCTAACCTGTGTTCATACTCATTTTACTTCTGTATTAGTATTCCTAGATATATTAGTCAATTTTACAAAAACCTCTGAATTGTAATGGTTTGCTTGACAGTAGGCATTTAGTTTTATGTTCATGGCTGTGGCTTGGCTGATCAGGGTGACTGGCTCCTGCTGGATTTGTGGTTAGGTTCAGATCTGTTGCATTTGTCTTTTACCTGGGGCCCAGACTCAAATGCAGCAATGATAGGGGTGGAGGAGACATGCTCCTTGCCTGGCCCATCGTGAGAATGCAGGAGGGGCAGACTTAGGACTGTCCTGATTATCTCTTCTATGCACAGTCCTTTGGCTAAAGCAAGTCATAGTCCAGTCCAAAACCCAAAGAGGGAGGGAAATGAACTTGACCCACCATGGTGTGAAGCACTAAAAGTTACGAGACCAAGGGCAGAGATTTATAACTCAGAATTGTGTTGGGAGTGTAGCGGAAGGGTCCAGGCTGCCACATTACCTCTGCCAGTCCACTGGGGTGAAGCAAGGAGAGCAAAAGAAGAGCAATCTGAGGAGAGACTGGGTGAGGCAAGTAACACGCCCTTGCTTTTCAGAGATGTACGCGCAGTAAAGTTGGGATCTGGAGGTCAGTGCTTTAGGAAGGTCATGATCTGTGATTCTTAACGTGACCCCGTATTTACCCACAGACCATTACCAGCCCCTCTGATTACTGTAGCTCTGTAGCAGGCTTCAGAGTCAGGAAATATGATCCTTCCAACATTGTTCTCCAAGGTCTTTTTGGCTATCCTGAAGCCACTGCATTTCTGTATGAACTTTAGGGTAAGCTTCTTGCTTCCTCATCTAATTTAAATGCATGATTTAAGATTCAAGAAAATTGAGTCAGTCGCTACTGGCATCTAAATTTGAAGGAAGTGATTCAGTCACTTATCCAACAAATATTTATTTATCAGTGTTGCTGTTTGGCTTTGCATGGTTGGTGATGGGGTTACACCAATGAGTAAGTCCAAAGATAATCTTTGTATTTGCCTATCTTGTAATTGAATCTCATCAACAAATAATAATTGATCTTCACATTAATGAATACACAACCTTGGCTTACCATGATTTGGCTTACAATTTTTTGACTTTAGGGTGCTGAAAAATTATACCAATATAATGGTTTTTTTTCACTTCAGTACAGTACCACATAAATCACATGAGATATTCAACACTATTACATAGTAGGCATTATAGTAGGTGGTTTTGCCCAACTGTCGAATAATGTAAGTGTCCTAAGCAAGTTTAAGTTCGGCTGGGCTAAGCTAAGATGTTCAGTATTGGGTACACTGAATGCATTTTTAAATTTAGGATAGTTTAATTTATAGTGGTGAATTCACGACAGGACGAGACATAAGCATATCTAAGTTGAGGAGCATCTATGTAATTACAATCTCAGATTAATCCCATGAGCAGCAGATAGTCCTTGGAGGATGTAACATTTGCAGAAGTACAGGAGTTAACTAGGCAAAGAGGGTGAAAGGAGTAGCTGTCAAGGCAGAGGGAACAGCATGGGGAGGGGCCGTGGCTGAGAATCACAGCTTGTTCCAGCACCTAAACCAAGCTCAAGTGGCTGTAGCAGTGAGCCTTTAAACAAGACACAGCCAGAGAGGTGGACAAGAGTCAGAACCTCGTCCATGATTTAGAGTTTTACCCTGGTCACTAAGGGGTTGTTGAAGGTGAAAAGCTAGGAAATGACACAGACAAATCTGTGTTGTAAAAATCTCATTTTGCACACCAACCAATTGTAAGATGTACTTGGATTTAATTTTTAAAAAGCATGAATTTTGCATTTATGAAGCTTTTAAGAATTTAGATATTGTGTATATGTTTGATGTCAAGGCATTATTACCGTATTTTTTCATGTAGTAATCTACTTAAGTTGTATTTTTGTGAAAGATCTTATCTTAGAGATACATACTGTAATACAACTGAAATGGTAGGATGATAAGATGTCTGGAATTTCCTTCGAAATTATAATGTGTCAAGGGAAGGGTGAGAGTAGAGATAGTTAAGGCTGATTGTGGGTTGCTGGTGGTTAGGTTGGGTGGTAGCTTATGGATTAGTGGTGATTGGAGCTGGTTGGTGGGCACATGGATTTTAGGGTACTCTTCTCTGTTTTGTGCATGTACAAAATTTTGTGGGGAGATGAGAGAAAGAGAGTGAGAATGAGAATAAAAATGAGAATGAATATCATTTTGGGTTCATTGTGAGAGATAATGGTAGTGACAGGTGTTAGGAGGCAGTTGCAGTGGCCCGGTAAGAATGTTTGGTTCAGGCTGCGTCAGTGGAGATGGAGCAGGTTAGAGGTTGTTAGGAAGCAGACATGACTTGCGGGTGGACCACACATAGGGATTAGGGAGATGATGGAGTCAAGAATTTCTGGCCCTGTGTGCCAATCTGAGCTAGGGCTCCTGGAGAGGTACTAAGCAGGTCCCTTGATTCATGATGTTTTCACACACCCCCATCCCTCATTCCCTTCATTCTGCAAATACTGAAACTGTTCCCTTATGTAACCTTTCATCCCAGACTTCCTGTGCTCAGCACAGGTGTTCAGCAATTAATTAAGCTTTAGTGTACATGCATTAATTAGAGCCTTCTCCCAGGTTCAGAGAGCCTGTTCTAGAATGTATATGTCCGTCTATGTCTGCTTTCTTCCTGGACCTTGTTCTCTTTGCTGGGGGGGGGGGGCACCTTTGCCTTCCAGTGGGCACGCAGTACAGATGTCTGTCTGTTACACCCACTTTAATTTCATGTTTAGGGGCCTAGGTCTAAGAAAGTTAATGACTTGTAAATTGCTCTCCAACACAGAGCTAGAAATAGAATACAAGGATTCCCGAGCAGCTTCTTGCACAGAAATGCAGTGATGGAGGTGCCAGCCACAAAGTGTGTACCTAAGATAGGGGTTTCTTGCTTCTCCTTTCTTGTTTGTCTAGACAGCCACTCTGTGCAGCCAGGTCATTCCTAACAAGGGCATTGTTGTGGCTCGTATTAAATGTCCCCACAAAGCCTTATGTGGTCATAGATGGGACTTTTTCCAGAGGAGGCTGAATATAGATGTGTAATTGATTCATGGTGCAAAGCTAGCAATAAGGGTGCTAGGATTAAAGTGGGTGGTTACTAAATCAGCCCACTAAATGGTCCAGCATTACCCTAATCCTGGTAACCTGGATACAATATGAGAGACAGAAAAACACTATTAAGATCTCTCCTTGCTTGTGCTACCTTGTAGACTCCGTGAACAGTTCTCTGTGATGCCCCTCTGCCAAGCCACCTTACCTTGAGGCCAGTCAATTATGGACTGAAACCTCCACAAACTGTGAGCTAAATAAACCTTTCCCCCTTTAACTTTGTATGTCAGGTATTTTGTCTCAGCAATGAGAGAAAAGTAACTAAGACAGGCACCAACCTCCAAATGAAGTCACACGTTGGCCTCGGACAGTGTTGGCTTCCTCGTCCCACTGAATGACCCTTGTCACCTTTTCTTCTTGTCCCCTCTCCAGGAAATTTTCTGATGTGACGGCTGAGACATGAGATCTTCAGCCTCCAGGCTCTCCAGTTTTTCGTCAAGAGATTCACTATGGAATCGGTGAGTGGTCCCTTCCTGTCTAGAAAGCCCAGCCTCATGGGTTCTCAAAGAGTTTTCTATCACATGAATTATCCTTTGCCTTTGTTTGGAGAGGAAGTTGGGATTGTGATGGTACCAGAGAGAAATCAGGAACCGCAACAACAGTACCACCATTAGAAGGTGCTATTTTATTTTATTTTTACATTCATTACGGGCAATTGGTGCATCTATATAACACATCTCAGTTCTTTATTCCCCTTCCCATGCACCCTTTTGAATTTTTTATTTTTGCTAGTATTAGAATTATTTTGTTTTATAAATTCTTATCAAGTTAATATCATAAACATAGATTAACAGCCAAACTAACAGAGCAAAAGACATAAAATGCAAATGACAATTATATTAAATCAAGGCACACTTTTAAATACTTTGGCCATGCTGGCTTACAATAACTTTTTTCTGCTTCTATCTTCCCCTTTTGTTTTTTATTTACACTTTATTTATATATTGGTTTTCTTATGTAAGAGAAATTATGTGATATTTAAGCTTTGTATCCAACTTATTTCATTTAACATTAAGATCTCAAGGTCGCCCATTTTTTAAAACAAATCACTCAAGTTTTCCTCCTTTATGGAAGAGTAGTACTCCACTATGTATACATAGCATATTTTCTTAATCTGTTCATCAGTTGATGGACATACAGGCTGTTACCAAGGTTTAGTTATTATGAATTGTGCTGCTATAAACATGTATGTGTGTATTACTGTAATTTGATATATGTAACTCTTTGGGGAAGATAATTATAAGGGGAAGAGCTGAGTCATGTGGAACTTTTAGTTTTTTAAGGAATCTCCATACTTATTTCTACAGTGGTTGTACAGGTTTACTCTTCCCCCAACAGTGAAGGAGGGTTCCTTTTTCTCTGTAGCTTCACGAGCATTTGTTATTGTCTGATTTCTTGGGGAAGGCCATTCTTTCTAGAGTGAGATGTAACCTCTATATGTTATAATTTGCATTTATTGAATGACTATTAATGTTGAACATTTTCTTATGTATTTATTCACCTTTGTACTTTTTAATCTGAGAAGTGTCTTTTTATTTCAGATGCCCAGTTTTGATTGGGTCTTTAAATTTTGGGGGTCTAATTAACTGACATTCTTTATATATTCAGGTTATTAGTCCATAAGGAATAGCTGGCAAAAATTTATCCCCTTCCATAGGTTCTCTTTACTCTGTTGGTTGATGTGATGGTTTCCTTTGCTGTGAAGAAGCTGTTATATTTGGTATGATCCTCTTGTTGAGGTTCGTTGTGTTCGTTATGCAGTGAGGGATCTTCGTTTAGAGAGTCTTTGCCTACTCCTGTCTTTCAGTTTTACCTGTTTTGTATCCCAACAGAATAAGTGTTTCTGTTTTAATATGTAGCTCTTTGATCCATTTTTATTTTACTTTAGCACATGGGGAGAAATCTGGGTCTAATTGCAATCCTTGGCAGGTAGTTATTGAGTTCCCCTTAGCACATTTGTTAGAGTCTTTCCTGCAGGGAAAGTCGCCCCTGTGTCAAAGACTCAGTAGTTGAGTGTGCCTAGAGTTGTTTCTGCATTCATTATTCTGTTGCGTTGATCCATGGCTCTGTTTTTTGCCAATACTATGCCTTTTATTTTTCTGTAGATTTGCAGTCTAACTTGAAGTCTGGGATTGTGATGATTCTTGCCTTCCCTTGTTGCCCAGAATTGCTTCTGATATTGTAGGTCTCATCTGGTTGCATATGAATTGTAAGGTTATTTTCTCTAGTTCTGTGAAGAATGCTGTTGGTTGACAAGGATTGTGTTAAATTTGTGCAACAGTTTTAGAAATATGGCCATTTTGAAGATACTGGTTCCACCCAGCCAGGAACAGAGTATAGCTTTCCATTTTCTAATGTCCTCTTCAATCTTGTTTTCAGAGTACTTTAGTTTTGTCATAGAGTTCTTTCACTTCCTTGGTCATGTTAATTCCTAAGTATTCATTTTTCTTAGTAGTATTGTAAAAGAAATCGTTTCCCTAATTTTTGTTACTGAGTTTGTTACTGATGTAGAGGAACGCTGTTGATTTTTTGAGTATAGACTTTGTGTTCTGCTATACTACTGAATTTGGTTATTAATTAATTCCAGGAGTCTTTTGGTTAATTTTTGGGGTCTTCTATATGAAGGATCGTCTTCTGCAAACAACGATAATTTAACTTTATCTTTTCCTGTCCATATCCCTTTTAATTCTTTCTCTTGTCTAATTGCTCTGGCTACTGTTTGAAGCACTATATTGAACAGCAGTGGTGATAGCAAACATCCTTGTCTTGTTCCTGACTTTAGAGGGAAAGCTTTTGGCTTCTCTCCATTTAGCATGATGTTGGCTCTTGGTTTGTGATAGATGGCTTTTTGCAGATTGAGATAAAGACCTTCTGTACCTATTTTCCTCAGGGTTTCTATCATGAATGGATGTTGGATCTTGTCAAATGCTTTTTGTTAGGTCTATTGAGATGGTCCTGTGATTTTTTTCCCCTTGTTTCTTGTTTATGTAGTGTATTACATTTATTGATTTGCATTTGTCAAACCACCTCTACATCCCTGGAGTGAATCCTACTTTGTCACTATGTATGATCTTTTTTGTTCATGATTTGCTGCATTCTCTTTGTCAGTATTTCATTGGGAATTTAAGTTTTTAATTTACGTTCATTAAAGGGATTGGCCTGTAATTTTCTTTTTTGTATTGGATCTTTGTCTGGTTTTAGAATCAGGATAAAGCTTGCTTGCAGAAGTTAATTTGAGAGTACTGTTTCCCTTTCACTTTCATTAAAGATTTTCAGGAGTACTGATACTAGATTTCTGTAGAATTCAGCACTGAAGACACTGGGACCTGGATTATTTTTTAAAAAATATTTCTTCAGTTTTATTGCTAGCTATTGGATAATTCAGGATTTTTGCATCTTTTTTTGATTCAGCTCTGGTAGTTCATATGTATCTAGCAATGTAACCATTTCTTCTGAATTTTCTTTTTTGTTAGGAGACAGTTTCTCAAAGTAGTTACCAATGATCTTCAGGATTTTGGCACAGTCTGTTTTGATTTTGCCTTTTATATGAGTTTGCATCTTTTCTTTCCTTATTTTGGTAGAGTTGGCTAAGGGTTTGCCTATTTTGTTTATTCTTTCAAAAAACTAACTTTTCAGTTCATTAATTCTTTGTATTTTTGAAAGTCTCAATTTCATTAATGTCCGCTCTGATCTTCATAATTTCCTTACTTGTGGTAGCTTTGGATCTGGATTGTTCTTGTTTTTATAGGACTCTGAGGTGCATCATTAGATTATTTGTTTGAGCTAAGTGTTTTTCTGATATGGGAATTCACCAGTATAAAATTTCCCTCTTAGGATTGCTTTCGTTGTGTCCCATAGATTCCATTATGTGGTACTGGCATTATTATTTTATTGTAGAAATTATATAATTTCTTCCTGAATTGAGTCTGTGACCCACTGATTATTCAGGAAGGTATCATTTAATGTCCTTTTACTGCAAAGTTTCTGTGATTTCTTTCGCCATTGATTTCTAGTTTCATTGTACTACACTTACACATGAGATAATCTTATCTCTTTTGCTTTTACTTAACATGCTTTATGGGCTAACATTGGGTCTATTTTAGAGAAAGTCTCGTAGGCTGTTGAGAACAATGTGTATTGCGTTGTTGTTGGACGAAGCATGAGTATTTCTTTCTTGGTGTTTTTGTCTAGTTTATCTGTCCATTTGTGATAGTGGGGTGACTCTATTGGTGTTTATCTTATTATTTATCTCCATTAGTACTCATGTTGTTGAGTACATCAGTATTTGGCACATACTTGTCTCTTCCTGTTAATCAACATGTAGTGACCTTTGTCTCTTCTGATCAGTTTTGGCTTGAAATCCATTTTATTTGTAACTAGGACAGCTATTCCTATATTTTCCCTGTTGTGTAGAATCTATCCTTTAATTTTTAATTTGAGTTCCATTTTTAATTAGATGTGTTTCTTGTATACTGCATATCATTGGCTTTTGTTTTTTTGATCTGTTCTGCCAGTCTGTGTTTTTTGATGGGTAATTGAGAACATTCACTTTTGAGAGTTATTACTAGGAAGTATTAACTTATTCTTGTCAGTGCCTTATTTTCCTGTTGTTGATTTCTCTTTTTTAAATTTTTACTTAGCAGCTCATTCTGCCAGGTGCCTCCAGCCTTTTTGACTTAACGGCATTGTTGTCTTTAACTCTTTCTAGACTATTTCTTGAGAGACTTTTGTGATACTGATTTGGTGGTATGAATCTTTTGAGGTGCTCCTTGTCATGGAAATACCGTCTTTCTCCATCAATTTTTAAATTTACTTTAAAGAGGATAAAACGGAATAAAACCAATCAAAACAAACTATTGTAAGAGATAGAGGCCTCAAAATATTACGAAATCAATAATAGTTACCATAATGCTTTCTGATATCTTCAAAATAGCTGCAAATGACTTTGGACATAGTAAAAATCAAACAGAACACAATAGAATAGAAACAACAAAAACAAAATAATGAATGCAGTAAAGGACTTCAAAACAAGCGTATAGTAACTCCAAAATTGCTACCATAATATATCTTGCTATCTTTGAAATATCTGTTCCTGCCATCAGATCTGACATAATCAAACAAAGCAAAAGAGAATACAACCCAGCTCAACAAAAGAATAGAAATGATATAGGACTTCCAAAACAAGACCCATAGGGAATCAACAATGGCTGTACCCCTCAGAAGGATCCCCCCCTAGATGTCACACTGCGTACCACTATCCTCTGAGCCTATGATCAGATCACTGGCCCTAGACCTACAATGTTAGTGAAACAAGGAAGCACCACAGGCATCCAATTGCATTTCACCTCGATAGCTATTGTCAGGGCCTGTACTTCTCCAGATAAGCCAGTTGCTTATGGTGGGGATGGGATGGGATATGCTACTTCCTGTTTGCCAGCCCAGGAACCTGACAGGGCTG